TATATATATATATATATATATATATATATATATATATATATATATATAAAAATAATGTGTGTGTGTATGTATATCTATCTATCTATAGGTAGATATGTATACTTAAAGAATTGGTAATAATCACATAATCGGTGCACCAGTCATGAAATTTTCATTTAATATCTTTCTTTCTTTTTTTAGGTTTAAAGAGTCAAAATGGATGAATATCCATGTAGGAGATGTTATTCGCTTGAAGAAAAATGATTTTATTCCTGTAAGATCAATCACTTTTTTGAACCATTATTCCACCTAGAATCTGAATTTGCACAACACCAGTTTTTGGGTATCTAGATAATGGAATATGTTCAAAGACCTCCTTCACATAACTTAAAATCTAAATAAAATAAATTAGATTTGAAAATGATTCTAAGCAAAATGGGGGGAAAACAATTGTAACACGATGCATGATCGTGATATAGTGAGATTCACCGCATCTCCATGTGTAAGTAGGGGCCATGTAAGAAAAACAGATTTTTCATTGGTGTCAATACATCCCTTTATATGGAATCCTTCAAGGAAAAGCTGTTCAGTCCATCCGAAATCCATTTATTTTACCAATTTTAAGTAAGAAAGGTAGAAAACACATTTATCCGATGCAGTTTTGTTCATGTGTGGTTTTGTGTTAGATTATCTAGTTGTATTGGTATTTTTCTTTTCTTTTTTTGGAATATAGGCTGACATTCTGTTGCTGTCCAGTTCGAACCCCAACAGTCTTTGTTACGTTGAAACAGCCGAGCTTGATGGGTAAGTTGTCATTGTGCACAAATGTGAGTTTGAATTCTCATTTTGGGTTGCGTTTGTAAGCACTTGATTAGTTCACTCCCAGTTAGTCTTTGGCTGTAGGCAAATATATTGTGGTTTTATTTTTGATTGCCAATAATAATGTTAAAATTTATTGACATTTTAATATTACATTTACATGAAGTGCTAAATATTGTATTTGTGTCTTCTATTTTTTTTAAATATTTCTGTAGTTGTACATTTAGTATTTTATTATATTCCGTATATTTTTATATTATAATTTCTCATTTTATGTGGCACAGTTAGGGACCCTGCCAGAATAAGCATTTTGCTGTACAATAATAAATATATGTGACAAATAAATGTACACATGCTTGGTAGTTTGTAGGAATCAATTCCTTCACTTTGTGTGATGTAGATTTGATGTTTATTTGACGTTCGTATTTAAGACCTGACCAGGCCAAGGTAAAATCTTGAGGGGAATTGCAAAATATACAATTTGCCATATTATTTTGATTGTAAAGTTAATGTATCGGTATATTTGCTGTTCAGCCTGTTGTTTTAATAATTTATATATATCTTTTTGGCTTTCAGAGAAACCAATCTGAAGTTCAAAATGGGCTTGAAAGTGACTGATGAGAAACTTCAGGAAGAAAGCCAGTTGGCAAGCTTTGATGGTAAACGACCAACAAAAACCAAAAAGATAACATTAGACTAGTTTGCCTCAGCATTTTCTGTTGCCAAAGTTTTAATGGACAATAGAGCACAGCCACACACTTATTATGCAGAATCCCATTAACATGAAAAGCGAGTAATGAACTCTGGAAATAAAATGAAACAACAGTGATCTATCAGGTTGTCTTCAGTTGATTAAGGGGTTTTGTGTCTTGCTACCCAGACTTTTTCCTTTACTGGCACAGGATTAGTTTAATAGCTATGTTAAGCATATCTTAAGCAGGAAAATTACCTGCACTCTTCTTCCTGTTAATGAACATAGAAACCATAGAAATCATCTGGTCTGAACTTTGCAGTTTACCTGCAGGTCTATCGTTGGAGTTTTGAATTTAGTGCTGATGCTTTGAATTTCATGCATATTCCCGCAGCTCTCATTGAGTGTGAGGAGCCAAACAACCGCCTGGACAAGTTCACAGGCGTTATGAAGTGGAAAGATGAGTTTTATCCCCTGGATCTTGACAACATGCTGTTGAGGGGCTGCAAGATACGCAATACAGACGAGTGCCATGGCCTGGTCATCTTTGCAGGTCTGTTATCTCGGGTTTGTGATTCCCGGGAATAAGGTTACTTAAGGCTGTCTAAAATGAAAATCCTCAATGTCCTGCTAGATACAAACACAATATATGTTTACGTTAATTTCTTTGTTGTCTTAGGTTCTGACACCAAAATCATGCGCAATGGTGGCAAGACCAGATTCAAAAGGACTAAGATTGATGAGTTGATGAATTACATGGTTTATACTGTAAGAACCGTTTTTGGGTTTTTCCCAGTGGTGTTGCAGTTGTATTTTATTTTTGAAATGAAGTATAAAATTTTATGCAAATAGGCTCAGTACATGGCCAAGTAGAGTTTTTACCTTTGCATTGATACTGACGTTATAAGAAGTTTGCATGCTAGTTGTTGGTAGAGATATTTACAGTGTTGTTTGTGCTCTGTTTTAGATCTTTGTCCTCCTTTTCTTGGTGTCTGCTGGTTTGGCTATTGGCAACAGCTTCTGGTATGAAGAGATCGGTAAGCGTGCCTGGTATTTGAGTGATGGCCTGCAGCAGTCTGCTTCCTACAGAGGATTCCTAAGCTTCTGGGGCTACATCATTGTGCTGAACACCATGGTGCCTATCAGCCTCTATGTTAGGTAAGAGCCCTTTCAGTCCCATCGTTACTTTGTATTTTAAAAAATAGTTGCAATCATGTTTTGAGAATTGATGGATGTATAAGACATGACTAATGTTTACCTTTTCCAGAATGGGCTGAAGGTACAGTAGAGAAGTATGATAACATAAAAGACCTACATTTGACAATGTTCCAAAGGTCTGTCAACAAACATGATAAATAATTAATGTTATTAAAATGTCTCCAGGGTTGCAGGTTTTTGAATGCAGCTCTAGGTCTGTATTTATAGAGCCTTCCTATGTTTCTGTGTTTGTTTCCTCTTGCTACACCAGTTTCCACTAACATGGTTTTGAGGTGAATTATTGATGCATAAATTTCCTTTGATGTGACCGGGATGAGTGAAGTGTACATGTCAGTTGATGGGCTGGTGTCCGTTACACTATTAAATGTTACTTGCACCCTTGCTTCACAGGAGAGGTTGAAGGTTACTTACATCCTGAACCGGAAAAGAACTTGTTAAATAAATGGATGGATGCTTTGAAAATGCTTTGTAAATGTCATGGTATTGAAGATCGTTTGTGGTTTGTTTTCTTAAGTGTGGAAGTGATCCGGTTGGGCCAGAGCAAGTTCATTAACTGGGACCTGCAGATGTACTACCCTGAAAAGGACACTCCCGCCAAAGCCCGCACCACTACCTTGAATGAGCAGCTGGGCCAAATTGAATACATTTTCACAGACAAGACAGGCACCCTGACACAGAACATCATGGCTTTCAAGAAGTGCACCATTGGTGGCCAAATCTATGGTATGTCCTGTTCATGCTTCAGAGAGATCTGTCACAGTCAGATCTTTCAGTTGTGGCAATTCGTATAACACACCAGACATCTTTCCAACTGTGACTTGCTCTACAAAGACGTACATGTTTTTCCACATTGGTATGTCTTGCTAGGAGTGGGTGACAGGAACGATGTACTGACTCGTATAAAATATATATATATAAGAAAATGAATTGCTTCAATAAACTGCTGATAAGGAACATAGGTTGATGTGTGCTACCAATCAATCACATCACAGAAACGACTGAAATTCCAGCTAGTCATATGGTAGTCTTTTAAAAACGGACAACGGATGCCAAACCAATGCACAACAAGATTGATTGAGTTGGCGGAACATGGCACATACTGTGTTGGTAACATGTAAGAGAGGAAGCTTCAAGTGTCGGTGAAGAAAGCAGCACCTCAGCAGCCACGACATTTTTTTTTTTTTTTTAAAAAAGAGGTTTTGTGAGTAAGCAAAGGAAAAAATTCGGTGGTGTGGTGGTACTTTTTGCAGTTTAAAGTCTGACACGCAGTACGCTGGTGCTGTTTACTGTGTATTCTGTCAAACTTGTGCCAGCTAGAACTGGAAAGCTAGGCTTATTTCACCACTTAAAGCATTTTTATCCAGTAGAACAAACAAAACGCAAGTGCTTGCAGTCACAAACATCAGTAATTAGGGTTTCCACTTTCAATCTGAAAGAGTATGGGACAAGTCACTTCCTGTATTGGTTAAAAACGGGACACGGCATTTTATTTTTCATTACAAGACAGGTGACAACTCTACCAGCAATGTCAAAGCTAATACCTCGAACAAGCAGCAAGGCAGTCAGAGAGAACCTAGCAACAAACCGTACTGCTCATTTGCCATATCACCCAGTCCTACTACTCTCTCAACTTGAGCTCATTATACATCTCTAACTTCCTATTTGGAAAACCATTAATAAGTCATAAACCTTGGACCAGTTAATTAGCACTATTGTCTCTGTAAAACTGTGTTCTTACATTTGGGAAGTGTTATAGTACTTATGCAGCATGCTGGGCAAAGATGTAGTCATATTATGCGGCACGATGGTCAAAAACACCCTAAACGTCTTTTTGAATTTCCTTCTTCAGGTGATTCCGTAGGTCCCTTGAAGAATTCTCGGGTAAGTGGTTGTAGTCTTTGTTGTCATCGTACAATGACAAGGACAGTGTTCTTTTTAATAATAAAAATAATGATAAATAATAAATAATCCTTTGGAAATTTAACCTGCAATGGCATTTGTGTTTTAAATTGACCTAGGATAGTTCCTGCAGCTCAGTTTTAATTTAGAAAACGTTGACAGACAGTTATCAATAAATCACATTTGTCTATTAAAAAAAGATGGTCAAAGTTATTTTTGGAATCTGCTAGGAATGCAAAACCTTCCTGTGTAGTTTTATAGATTACTGAATGTTTCAGGATTAAATAACTGAATAAATTAAATGATTGAAAGCCACAGGTAAGGAAGCAGGAGAGAAAAGAACCCCTTCAATAGATAAGTGTACAGTGTTTGTGAAGAAAATCCGTTTGTGTTTGCGGCTAGCTCTGTTGTCTCGCAACTTTTGGGTAGGGGGTTCGAATCTCGCCATTGCTCTTGGTGTGTTCCCCAAGTCACACAGGTTTTGCGCCTCATATCAAAGACGTGATTAGGCTAACTGGTGTTACACGCATATGATTTTAGTATGTTGCCCATGATGTAGGGCCGGGAAGATGGATGGATTTCTGTTCATTATTTGCCTATTAAATCTCCTGCGTATTCTGTTCACTAAAATTTTGGTGAAATTGAAATTTAGATATTAAGATTTTTCACCTCCAAATAAGGGACTGAAATATCAGCAGTTGTCACATGAGGTGATGTAATGTCATGTAAATTTAGACTGGAGACTGGAAGTCAGTTGCTAAAACTTAATGTTGTCATTTGAGTTAAATTGATGGGGATGACATACAGTACGTTGTATAGTAAGTCCGATTGCTACAGCGCATTATGTAATAACTCTACAAAATGTTACAAATTTATAGACTAATTTTATATTGCAACATTTCCCCATCATCATCATCTTCATTGTTATGATCATTCAATTTGTTACATTCCATCAAGTTATTACATAATGCGACATTATTACGTAATGCATTGTTACACCGATACTATAGAATGACTTCTAACCTTGTTTCCTCCTTCATCCCTCTCTAGCCTGTCGACTTCAGTTGGAACAAGTATGCCGATGGAAAGTTCCAGTTCTTTGACCATTCACTGATCTCGCACATCCAATCAAAGAATGACCTCGAAGTGTTCGAGTTTTTCAAACTTCTTTCACTTTGCCATACAGTAATGGTGGACCAGAACGACAGTGAGTGAACCCCCCCCCCCCAATTGATCTGATTTGGTAAGCAACGATAAGGGGATGATCTCCATGCTCTGGTTGTTGTCTTCCGCAGAGGATCTGGTTTACCAGGCTGCCTCCCCTGACGAAGGGGCCCTGGTCACTGCCGCCAGGAACTTTGGTTTTGTTTTCCTGTCCCGCACTCAAGACACCATCACTGTCAGTGAGATGGGCAGTGTGGCAACTTATCAGATGCTGGCGCTTTTGGATTTCAACAGCGACAGGAAACGCATGTCTATTATTCGTAAGTGTTTCAATGCTTTTAAAGTGTTTGAGTCTTTTCCATTGGTATGTAACTTTGCCGTTGGAGCGTAAACGAGCATTCCTGATTTTACAGTGAGGTTCCCCAATGGCAAAATCCGGCTGTACTGCAAAGGAGCCGACACGGTTATCTATGAGCGTCTGCATCCCAGCTCCCAAAACAAGGAGACTACTCAAACTGCCCTCGAAGTGAGTGACTGAACCCCATTGTGTATATGAATAATTGCTATTGTTTTTGAATTCACATTAGAATTCTAAATGCCCCCAGTAAAAATATTGTGTTTTCCTCCCCACAAGACTTTTGCAAATGAGACTCTTCGGACCCTCTGCTTGTGCTACAAGGATATTAGCAATGAAGAGTACGAAACCTGGTCTAAAAAGCACAAAGCAGCCAGCATATCAATGTCCAATCGAGAAGAAGCCTTGGATGAAGTCTCTGAGCTGATTGAAAAAAACCTCGTTGTAAGCGATTTGTTGTGTTTCAGGCTTTTGTAAAATGTACGACCTAATAGGAGAGTGGAGAATACTAGCTATGCTTTTTTCCCCTGTGGTTAAAATGCTTTTTGTGACTTGTTTCGTATTACTGTGACTTATTTTTCAGCTCATCGGTGCCACAGCCATTGAGGACAAACTTCAAGATGGAGTACCAGAGACAATTGCCAAGCTTGCTAAGGCTGACATCAAAATCTGGGTCCTAACTGGAGATAAGAAAGGCATGTTTCCATTGCTTATACCACAGGATTATAAAACGTATTTCTATCATTTTTACTGGATCCTAGCATGGTCTGTTAATGTTAACATTGACATTGCATGTTGTGCAGATGCAGCTGTCACATTGCATGGACTGTGATGATCTGTTCAATTCAGACCATCATTTAATTTTTTAATAATTTTTTTTAAATAGGAAACTATGGGGGGGGTGGGACAAATGCACGTTCTGGATTGTAGTTGTATGAAGACATTTTTGATTCCATAGAGATGATATTGAGTAAAATGTTTTGTATCTAAATTTATTATGAAAATTTCTAATATTGCGGTGTATATTCTTTCCAGTATCCTTCAGCGCTAATCCTGTCTAATTACTGTCATATTTTATTGACAGTGTTGGCTTTGCTGTTTCATATGGAGTGTTATACATATATTGTTTTGGTCTAGAAACTGCTGAGAACATTGGCTACTCATGTGACCTTCTGACTGATGACATGAAGATCCATTATGGAGATGATGTGAAGTAAGTGTTTTGTTTAGACACAGATACGATCTGTGACTGAACCCTACTCTAGACCAACATTTTTCATCTGGTGGGAAAACGTACCACTTGAAAAACACTGCCTTATAGAAGATGTGCTGTGTCAGGAAAAATGGTTCGGAAAGACCTGCCGTATGCCATCTCTTTCATTAGTGATGCTGTTAAAGGAGTGACCTGTAATTCAATCATGAAGACGTATCTCTCATCCATTTTTACCACTGCATATTCTATTACAGTGTGAAGCTGCAAAACAGACAAGCTGACAATATCGGGACAGATGGTCGTCAAGGGAAAGCTAAAGAACCTTTCTTTCCTGAGCCTGGGAAGAATGCTCTGATCATCACTGGCGGGTGGCTGGTATGTGTTGTCAGGATAGAATCATGCCCGTAGCTGGCTAAGAGCCTCTGTCATTTTTTTAGAGTTGAAAAGAAAATTTGAAGCTAAATACAACTGAATAAAGAAAATAGAACTTCTTCCCCATTTCCATTTCCTCACTAAGCCCTACAGCCCTGGACAGATTTTTGTTCTATGAATGCACTCTAATAGCTTTGTATTTGACCATTTAAAAACGTTCTTTAGAATGAGATCTTGTATGAGAAGAAGAAGAAGAGACGTCGGCTACGCCTGCGCAAACTAAGGAAGAAGACCTCGTCAAATAACTCTATGGATGGTCAGCTGATGAATGAGATGGAAAAGGAACAGAGGCAGAAAGACTTTGTCGATATGGCTTGTGAGTGCAGTGCCGTCATCTGTTGCCGCGTCACACCAAAGCAAAAGGCCAACGTCGTTAGCCTGGTGAAGAAGTACAAGAAGGCCATCACATTGTCCATTGGAGATGGAGCCAACGATGTCAACATGATTAAAAGTAAGGAAGCCCTCGGCTGTTATAGCTACTGAAAACTACATAAAACTGCAACAACTGAAGACCATAACTAAACGGCATCCTTTTATATTTAAGTTTCACTCCTTATCCAGTGTGCTCCTTATTCCCTATATCAGAGGTTCTTTATCCAGGGAGTCGCAACATTTTTCAGGGTCATTATGTAATTTTTGGAGGGGTTGCGAGAGTCGTGAAAGTCGTGAAACACAGAGGAATTAATTTGCATGCTAGCTCTTTGGCACCGTAGCAACACCTATTGGACAGGTTATTCATCCCCCCTATTGGACAGGTTATGCATCAGTCTTTTAAGAACGGACAACCTACAAATGCAATGCGGAGTTGATTGAGTTAGCGAGTTGAGCATGCCTCTTGCTTCTGTCTTGGTAATATGGAAGAGCTAAGCACTCCCCCAGAGCAAATTATAAGTGTCAGCAAGAAAACGACGGCTCAGCAGCTGCAATGTCTTTTTAAAACGGAGATATTGTGGGTAAACAAGGTAAAAAGGCGTTGGTGGTGTGACGGTACTTTTGTAAATTTATAGCCCTACAGTCAAATGACTGGTGCTGTGTACTGCAAACTGCTGAAAATGTGTGCCAATTAAGTTTGTACCATTTCCAGTTTTATTTCACCAACTGAAGCATTGCTGTCAAGTAAAATATGCAGAATGCAAGAGCTTACATCCTCACAGACACCAGAAATGAGGGTTTCCACTTTCAATCTCAGGAAATATGCTGAACACTCAAAAAGGTTATGGACCCTTACCCTATATCAGGGTTATTCAAATCACGGTCCTCGAGGTCCGAGCACTGCTGGTTTTCCAGCCTTCCTTTACCTGTGAGCCAGGTGTGAAGCCTCTGACCAATCAGAGTCAGTAATTATTAAACTAACTACCTGGGAGAACTGGAAACAAGGCCTGGATTTGGAATCGAGGTCCATATTTGAAGAACCCTGACCTATATGTACATACTCTTTCCAGTAAGTTATACGAACACTGGCGTTACTCTGAGGAACTGCTGTTTTAAATGTGTTTGAATCCACACATCATCTGTAATGCTTGCCCAATGGAAGGGAGAGTCTTGTCCAGCAAGCACAGGGAATGAAGCAGGGGATTTAAATGCATTTCAATTTTAAACAGTCACACGCATGGACAATTTAGGAAGAACATTTCTTCTCAGCACATGGTTTTATTCTATGGGAGGAATGCAGCCCAAAAAACACATTCAAATTCCAAACAGGGGTGAGAATCAACCCCCCTTGTCCGTCAGGTATAGGATATGACTACCCCCCCGAGCCAGCATACCATCCTATACATCTGAATGTAACCTCTGGTATTTCAATGTGACCTAAACATTATTGTCAGTGGTGCAGATGTGATAGTGATATATTATAGTGTCATTACAGTAGCTAAACAAGTAAGTGTTGACTTTCAACTGAATGACTGATAACATTAAAATGGATAGACCCTTTTGGAGGGAGATGATAAATGTATACAAATCTTGGCTCTGTAATAGAGCATTGCAGTGTAGATGACTTAATGACTTTTTCTCTAATTTCCCCTTTTACAGCGGCGGACATTGGTGTAGGCATTAGCGGACAGGAGGGCATGCAGGCTGTGATGTCCAGTGACTATGCCTTTGCCCAGTTCCGCTACTTACAGCGCCTCCTGCTGGTGCATGGGCGCTGGTCCTACATCCGCATGTGCAAGTTCCTGCGTTACTTCTTCTTCAAGAACTTTGCCTTTACTCTGGTCCATTTCTGGTATTCCTTCTTCAGCGGCTATTCTGCTCAGGTGAGGGAATGTTCCGTATGCGCACTGAGAAAGCTTCTTGATTGGAAATAAGATGTCTGTATGCTGTGCATGGATACCTTGGACCTAATTGACTTGAAGCTGAAGAATGAATGGGGTTTTTTTTTTTTGTATGTTAAGTACTGCGTTGATGCATGATTAAAAGGTTCATTCTCGTTTTGCAGATAGCCTATGAAAACTGGTTCATTACACTTTACAATGTTTGCTACAGCAGTCTCCCTGTTCTTCTCGTGGGCTTGCTGGATCAGGTATGTCCAGGTCTTTTAACCAGACTTTTTTTTTTTTTTTTTTAAAGTATTGTTCATTTTTGTACCATAAAATATCTAGCATCAAAAGCAAGCCAATATGTTATTAATGGTGACACATGGTGACACATGGTGAAACATACTACCTCAGTTTGGTGGTGGTGTTAGTACTGTAATTGCTGTGATTAGTATTTATGATGCTTTTATGATGATGATGATAATTTGATGGGTATTGAGTTAATCTTCTTCTCACCCAATAGGACGTCAGTGACAAGTTGAGTGTACGATTCCCCAAGCTGTACTTGCCAGGCCAGAAAGGATTGCTCTTCAATTATAAAAACTTCTTCACAAGTTTATTCCATGGCATCTTCACCTCTATGATCATCTTTTTCATCCCCTATGGAGCTTTCCTTCAGACTATGGGACAGGATGGGGAAGCTCCATCTGACTATCAGTCCTTTGCTGTTGTAACTGCCTCTTCCCTCATCTTCATTGTCAACCTGCAGGTATGCCCCTTTCGCTCTACCTGTTTTCCCTGTCCCTCGGCCTTCTTCCACAGACAGTTTGTGCTATAAACTATGTGGAATCCTGGCTTTGTTTTTAAACATTCATTCAGTGCGTGGTTGGAATTTTTATCATTCACATGCTACCGAAAGTAAGGCAGAAGTTTTCTGTGAAAGCTTAGTTAGTTTCAAGCTTGCTGCTAAGTCTTAAATGGATTACTTTTTAATGCTTTGTTGTTTTCTTAAGACGTTAGGGTATGCACAAACTTCCATATGCATCCATGACTCTGTGTCTGCATTTGGAATAGGCTGATTATCAACTTATGTGTCAATATATGTTATAATGTATTACATATATGTTGAGTGGTTCCATAGCATGTCACACTTTTTATATGGTTTTTCCCCATTTGGAGGTTTATCTGACACATTTTACTATGTGTTTTTATGTTTGTTAGTGTACCTTATTTTACTGTTTAAGTATTGCTATATGACAAAATCTTGCTGATGCATTTTATAGATTCTGCAACATTTTCTAGAATTCTGGGTCTAATTTTTCATATATTGACCAACAGATTTCTCTTGAAACATCGTACTGGACCTTTGTGAATTGCTTTGCAGTCCTGGGCAGTATTGCAATATACTTTGGAATCATGTTTGACATCCACAGTGCAGGAATACATGTGATCTTCACCTCGGCATTCACCTTTACTGGTGAGTTGTGATGAATAATCAGTATGCGTGAATTTGTCAGACTTTATCTCCTGCCAAACAAATAATTTAAATTAAATTTTGATAAGAAAAAGTAATCTTTTATAATGATTTTAATAAAATCTGTGTTTTGATAAATCAGCTTGTCTGCTTGTATATGTGAAAATGATAAACATTTTTTTAGATGAGTAAAAGAGTGCATTTTTTTTTGCAAGGTTTAGTTGCTTAAAATATGTTCATTAATTGTATCCTCCTTTTTCCCCAAATTCAGGGGTTGCTTCTAACGCTCTCCGGCAACCGTATCTCTGGTTGACTATCATTCTGACCATGGCGATAAGCCTGCTACCTGTCATCTGCGTAGAGTTTCTTTACAAGACTATATGGCCCTCGGAAGGAGACAAGGTAATCTTGTATTGCAGTTCTGTTTACATTCACACACTGCACTTATCAAACTTAGGTTCTTCCTTATAACTAAAAGGTGGTTTGTAGGTTTAACATTTTTTATGGCTGTTGACTTATCATAGGACAGGGTATGAATGATGATTATGTATAGTCAGTGAGTCTGTGAGTGAGTACCCCTACCCCAATTTACTTGTGTTTTCCCTTCTGGATTGCCATTGGTTATGATTAGTCACATGGTATTACCTGACGTTAGGGCTGCAACTATATTGGAAGCAAATCACTTAATGGATTCTCTCAAATAATGGGTGGAAGAAAACAACATAATTTTACAAATTCCCCCAGATCCAGAGAAACAAGAAGAAGTATGAGAAGGAAGAGGAAGAAGTAAGGAAACCGACAGCCTTCCAACGCGGTCGCAGGTCCCGACGATCGGCCTATGCCTTCTCTCATTCCCAAGGCTACGCGGATCTCATCGCCTCTGGCCGCAGTATTCGCCGGAAACCAGTACGCAAACCCATCCCAGAGAGCATCCGGGAGGTCCCACAGGCAGAGAACATCTGATGGCAAACAATGTTTCAGTGTTCACTGTTTGGATCTTAATTTTATTTTTTATTTTTACTGAGATTTATACCAAGGACAAAAATTTATTTTAATATATGCACCATATGTAACAGATAATGTTAGTTTCTCAGGGTTTTAACTTATTCTTGCATTTTGGCAAAAAGGAGGCATGATTAGAATGTGGATAAGAATTAGTCTTTGGCATCTTATTTGTTTTTTTTATTATTATTCCCCCTCCCCCCCAAAAAAAATAAAAATAAAATAAAAAATAAATAAAATATAAAGTGCACATTTTTCCCTGAACACAAGCTCCAAAGTGTATATGGATGTATGTCTGGACATCACTAGCTTCTACTTGTTAGGTGCTCTGTTCTTCTGTGTTCAGGCTATGCATGTCACCTCATTTTACTTTCTTTTCTTTATGTAAAAGTAATATAGTTTCTTAATTTCTTTCCAAGCGAAACCCAGTTTCTTTAAAATTCCCTCAAACTGATTGGTGCTTTTTGGGATCCTAAACCACAATAGTGCCTTGAATTTTGACATAAAGGTTTTGCTGTGTACTACGACAAAAAAAAATGATCACTTTTATATAAATGTTTAGAAAAAATAAAGGAGAAATCCTTGATTTCCATTCCTGAAGTACTTTACAGTTAAGATGGATGTCACTTTTTCCCCTTGTGGTGGGTAGTAAAATGTATAGCACCGAACCGTTCACTTGGCCAAATGTTAGATGTAGATCTTTACTAGACCTTTTTAAATCGGTTATGTGAAATATCACTTATGATAAAATTAGTTTCTACTATTAAGTGGTACTTCAATGGCCCAAATGGAAATCTGTTACAATTTTTTATTTGTAATTATATTTCTATGTTCATGTGTTTTTATTTTTTCTTAGACGTTGTATCATGTCTCCAATATATCAGACTACTTTAAAACATATCTTTATAGGATTTTTAATATTGTTGTATATTTTGTACAAATCAAATAAAAACTGTGACGTTTTTTCCCAATAAAAGGAGCTGTAAATTAATAAGAGTGGGACACGACTAAAAATGTTTGTTTTATAAAATAACACCCCTGATGTGTTTTCGGAGATAAACGTGTATAATCCTCATTTCCTTTAAAAGTACAGTTGAAGTCATCATAAAGCACAATTTGCCATTCAATACAAAAACCTCCTGTAACTTAAGTGAAACGCACACAGTACAACGCTCATCACACGGTCATGGTTTAAGCACTAGCAAGCTTTACTGCTAATATACACGAGGCTCGGCTGAAATCACCGCTTGGCTGAATGAACTGAAGAGGACGCCGTAAGTCAATGTGCGTTTTTACGACAGCGTTCCATTGACGTTAACGTGTTGCCGTAAAGCTGTGTGGTTAATCAGCTGACTGGACAGACTGCAGAAGGGAATAAACACGGCTGAATATAGCCGCCTATATTGGACTTTCTCAAGAATTTTATCCAAGAGGCTTCAAGTACAGGACATGTTCCTGTAGTATTTATCACTTGTAAGTATTTAAGATTTCGCTTATTACCCGGAGAAAATCCGGAAGCTGTAATGTTACAGGTTTATTTATTAGGGCCGGTCAGATGTCTTTAAAGTCTGATCAGAATTACAAAATGGCAGAGAATATAGTACCTTTTTATTTAATGCGTTTGTAATGTGATATTTCAATACTGTTCCTCAACTAAACGTGAACGCCGTCATTTTAATTGTTAGTAAGCTCGCTAGCCTATCAACCAGCCAGTATTTGTCGACTGATACTATTGCAGGTTAGCTTTGCCAGCGATGAACTGCCTAGCTAGCTCAATTGAAAATGAATTATTGCGACGTCCACAGCCTGTGAATACTAATAAAATTGTGTTTAATAGATGCATATTAATTACACTTTTAATTACATGAAAAGCAAATAAGAGTGAGCCATGTAGCAGGTAGTCATATTAAATGAAGCATCAAACTGCTTTAACCTTGGGAATTTGTGTGATAATCCCTGACTCAGAATACTAAACACCATAGACTATGACGGCTTTACCTTGGAAATAGTTACACCGTTACACTGTATCTGTGGAAATGCGGCCCTGTGTCTCACCGAGCATGAGCTGTAGCTGCACACATGTCCCCGTTGTGGCTTAGGGTCTCCTACCGCTTTACTGCATGATAACAGGCTGCAAGTAATAATGGATTAATAATTGATTACTATGTCTGTACCGATACCCAGAGATCATATTAGCCCCTTTAAACGATAATCGCATTATAACAAGCTAGCACTAGACCAAACTGACAAGATCCCTTAAAGACACTGTGTAGAGGGCACAGTAGTAATGACAACATAAAACGTTTTATTGATTTAAGAAACTGCAATGTTTAAAGCTGAATACCTTGCAAGGGCTGTTAGTCATTATTTGGGTTTTTTATTAATTACACTGATTATTTGAGGTATTTGGCTGAAAAAAATTCAATTGGGAAAACTGTGAACAGTTGATTTTACCATGATCATGCATTCATAGGCATAACCACAATGGATTTTTGATAAATATGAGATGTATTATTTTGTCCTCATCCCCACCCTAACCCCCCAGTTTTTTTTCTTCTTCCATGTGCATATTGATTGTGCTTTCACATGGCCGGTAGATTAAATAGACCGGTGTGGATGGATGGTCGATGGAGTGGCTTTGCTTCAGATACCTTCATGTTATCTTTGCTGAGCGGTTGCAGAATTACTGGGATAATACTGGAGATGAAACTGAAAGATATCGTGAAGATGAAGGTGTTGTTTTTGAGGATAATAAGAAAGAAATATGTGAAGAAGCTGCAACTTATACGGTATTTTCCATTATGATTGTTTTTGGTGTTTAGAAACCCAGACTTTGATTAGCTTTGTCTTGATGGCTTATTTTGAGTTTTTGTCTTTAGTTAAATGTTGCCCTGGATGGAAGTTGGGATATAATTTCACTGCTTATTTGCATCATTGAAGTTTGAGATGGAATTTCTAAATTGTGTACAGGAAAAAGAAATTATGCAGGAAATTATTATTTAAAAGAAAGGAAAGCTTACTCTTGTTTTAATGCATTGATGTTAGAAGCGAAGGTGGACGGAACACTTCAGATTAAAGTTGTGATTTACACATGTAAGTTGAACATTTAAGCTGAATTTCTAATCAAGATACTTAGGCCTGTAAGCACAGTAGAATAGTAAGGCAAAAAATTTTAAGCACATTTAAAAAGAATAATATTATTTTAAGCATTTTAATCTGAATGAGGATTTTTGTACTCATTGGCTGAAACCTGTGGTCTTTTGGAGATGAATAAGGTAGGGTTGAAGTGTGTCATGGACGTATGGACATACATGGAAATATGGAAGGGAAATGATAGGATTAATACTATTCAAAACATAATAAAGATCCTAAAAAATTGGTCATGATGAGGATTATAGAGCAAGTGTATGACCTGTCTGAGTTTAGCAGCTGTACTGCAAACTATGAATACCATCCATTTATCATCTTTTGTACTACTTCTCTGGTAGAAAGTCATGCTCTGAAGTACCCTCCTTAATCAGTAGGCCATTTTTGAACTTCCCTTATTTTTTAGTGGTCTTGACTTTGTGTCATATTTTGAGTGTGTCTACTATGTGGAATGTAAGAAGGCTTAGAATACTTCGAAATAATGACATGCTTGCTTAAGCATTGCCACAGCTGTGTTACAATCAAATTTCAGGAAGTCAGGAGCTAGTAAATCTCTCAAATTCAATTGAAATTAAATCATAACATCATTATATTATGAGCCCATGTATAACTTACTTTGTACATGCACTCCCTTTACAGCTGTGGTTTTGATGTAAGCTTTACTGCATATTCTTTTACAAGAGCTCACTGCTTCATTAAATTCAACTTGCTTTAATAGTGTTTTTTTTGCTGTTGATATTGCTCTTTAAGCTTTATTGTGTTACAGTTGTAGTTGCATAATTTTTGGCGCTGGTCATTCTAGAGGTCTGAGTGCGAGGAGAATTATATTGGGGAACAAATGAGTGAAGTTGTTTATCGTCGGAAATATCGATAAATTACTGTGGTTGCAGGTAAAGATGCCTGAGCTAACTATTTTTTTGTTAGCCCGGATATGTGGTTTTAATCAAATGAAGGGTTGGCTGAATGAACATGAGAAATTATTCCGGCTTAAGAAATTAAAAGGTGGTCAAAGAGTAACGATTGGTCTATATTGAATGTTTTCCTCGTCACAGGAAGCATCCGTGCCACTCAGCGTCATCGACTTCTGATGCTACTCTGTTGTTTCTGCTCCTGCTGCCGCATTATCCCCCTCGTTTCCTCTCACTCTGATTTCATTTCTGTGAAACCAAGACTCAGAATATCACCACTGCTTATCCTTTCTCTTCTGTTTGATAGTGCATCAAGGAGATTGATAGCAGCTATTTGAAGTTTAGTTTTTCAGTGTTGGTTTACTGATGACGTTAACCGGAACTTTGTAATTGCTTTATTTGTTGGTAATTCTCTCTCTCTCTCTCTAATTTTATTTATATATATATATATATATTAGTGCTGTCAAATGATTAAAATTTTTAATCAGATTAATCACGGGGTTGCTGTAGATTAATTTCGATTAATCACGATTAAATATAATTCATTTTTAATCTATATTAATCGCATTTCATTTTGCACGAGCAAACAGAGTCAAGAAAAGGGAATATATATGCACTTAACATGTTTATTGAACATCTTGAACACAAGTTGGATGCATTCCATCTGCCACAGAAGTGCAATACCATGGACCCACATCAAAAAGCAAGATTTTTTGCTTAGCCGGACAACTTGCCGGATTTAAGGTACCTCAGTTTTAATGGTCTTTATCTTTGTTCACTCACAATTAGCCCGAACTACCGTAAATCCGACAAATAACCCGGTTAATTGCCATTGTTAGCAATATAAGTTAGCACATTATGCGCGGTGCATTACGTATGAAACTCCGTAGCAACTCGTCCACAGATAAGTTGGACGGTATAGTGTGTGCGACCGTTTTAATGAGCCACGAATGAGAAGTAGTGCTTAAACAGTATAAAACTACAACTTTCCTTTCTGTTGATAAATGGCGCAGCCATCTTGGATTCTGAACTCTGGAGTCTGGATCCTCTGCGCTGCTCCAAGATATTTCTCGGATCTCCGAGAAACAGGAGTGCACATGCCGTCACTTCCGGTTTCAAAACTCGGAATCCGACTCGGAATGCGAGTTCCCAGGGCAAATGGAACGCACCAAAACTGCCCAAAATGGGTTGACAGAAACACTTCAGGGATTTCGAGTCATTATGTGCTGCAGATGGGTTAATTGCGTAAATTTTTTTTATCAGATTAATCATGATGCTGGATTAATCCACGTTAACCCGTTAATTTCTACAGCCCTAATGTGTGTGTGTGTGTGTGTGTGTG